AAGGATGGTGATATACTTTCCGGGTACTCCATTCTTTTGTAAGCAACGCCATAAAGCTGGCCGATCGACGGAGGCGAAAGCGACTCGGATGTGCAGAAAAACAACAATAGTGGGCTGGCGGTAAAGATGACGTGTTTCAAGGAGTTGGCGGAGCGTAAACAAGTGGTCTATACACCCACGACCGGGGGCGAAAACCAGCGTGTTCTTCTGGGAGTGCAGTTCTCGAATCGGGGTTAGTCTGCGGAGTAGAATGAATGTTAGCAGCTTGGTGGCAAAGGAAATTAGACTGATTCCTCGGTGGTTAGCGCATTGGGTACGGGCACTTTTCTTGAAGATCGGGACGATAATTGACTCGCTCCAAGTGGATGGAACTGTTTCTTCCTACCAGATCTTAGAGAACAGAGTTGTTGGCTGGTTGACAATTACTTCACCCCCGAACTTGAAATGCCCTGGAGGAAGTCCGTCTGGGCCAGCAGACTTGAATCGCTTTAAGTGTCGGAGCTCAAGGCAAACCTCAGCTTCAGTGAGTGGTTCCAATGAGACGCTCCAAGGCGCGCAAGTAGGTATACTCAATAGGCTCGCTGGCGAAGGCCAGCTGAATTGAGTGCGGAAGTGTTCAGCCCAATGGTCCATACGCCTGTGTAAGTTGCTTATTGGCGTTCCGTCAAATATACCGTCAGATACACCGAAGACCGACGTAATCAAGCCGTTTGGGTTCTTTGAATATTTGCATATGCCCATCGGTTTTCGCAACGCAGCCCAGACTGTTCATCGATACAGTTACTAGAGGTCTAGATTTCATCTATCCATACATCGAGGATAGCGTAGTTGTAAGCGCTTCTAAAGAACAACACGAAGAACATCTCAAGATTTTTTCGGCAGGCTGGCTGCTAATGGCATCACTGTCAACGTTGACAAATGCGTATCTCAGCAGCCTTCCGTCGAATTTCTTGGCCACCATATTGATCAGTATGGCATACGGCCTCTAGACGATAGAGCCAGCGTCATTAGAGACTTTCCGGTCCCGACTACGCTATTCGCCGTTTTAACGGCATGCTCAACTATTATCGACGTTTTCTTCCAGTGTCAATTTGCTAAGCGCACTAACCGACCTAGTTCGTGGACGCAAAAACGGTCAAGTGGAACTGACTGCTGTTGCTGCCGAAGTGTTCAAGGCCAGCAAAGAAGTTTTAGCCAAAGCCATTATGCTTCATCATTTCGAGTCGAACGCTCCGCTCAGTGTTGCTGTTGACGCATCGGACACCACTACTGGTGCCGTCCTACAGCAACACACAAATGGATGCTGGAAACCTCTTGCTTTCTATTCTAGATGCCTACAACCTGCCGAAGTCAAGTACAGCACGTTCAGTCGCGAACTACTGGTCGTTTACTCTACCCTCTGATATCTCCGATACGTTCTTGAAGGTAATACCTTCATTATCTTCACCGATCACAAGCCGCTTATATACGCATTCCGAAATCAACCAGCTTGACACTCACTACGTGAGATTCGTCAGCTGAATTTCATTGCCCAATTCTTGACTGGTATCCGACACATTTCTGGTCAACAAAAGATCGTCGCTGACGCCCTTTCAAGAGTACCTGAGATCGGCCATGCCGGGCAGGCAAACGATTTGTCTGCTATGGCCGCAACGACCAGACTTTTTCGGAATTCCATGATTCTTCTTTGAAGTTATCTCCACACCCCTTGCCGTCATCGGATGGTAAAATTTTATGGGACACATCTACCGGACGACCACGACCCGTCGTTCCAGAAACCTTTCGCCGTATCATTTTCGACACCCTTCACAATATCGCCCATCCAGGCATTAAAGCTATTGCTAAGCTTGCCTCCGAGAGATACGTTTGGCCGGGGATGCAACGCGATCTTACGCGCTGGACACGCAGCTGTCTCACTTGTCAGCAATCCAAGATTCAGCGACACGTGTGCGCTCCGCTCGGTCGCTTTCTGTCAATCTCAGCGCGAGCTGCCCATGTCTATCTCGACAGTGAGACTTTTGGACAAGTCCAAATGAATGGTCCACATTTTGACCATGATCGATCGTTGCACCCGTTGGCCCGAAGCCGTTCCGATCCCTGACCTAACTGCGGAAACCGTAACGCGCGCTTTCATCGAGCGCTGGGTCGCTTCATACGGCTGTCCAGCCAAAGTGACGACCGACCGCAGTCCGCAATTCGAATCTTCGACCTTTAACGATCTTAAACTCATTGGATGCCAACGCATTCGCACGACCGCCTATTATCCGCAGGCGAACGGCATGGTGGAACGTTTCCACCGACAGCTAAAAGCTTCACTTAGTGCCGCCAATGCGCTGAGTTGAACTGAGGTGCTGCCTATAATACTCCTTGGGATACGATCAGCCCTAAAGGCTAATCTACGTACGTCTAGCATCGAGTTAGTATATAGACAAACATTACGTTTACTTGGCGATTTCTTCTAGGATAGTCTCAGAATTCCCCGTTACGACACCAATTATGCTCGCACGAGCCTGCGTCACTAAAGGCTTCTCGGCGTTAGAGAACAACGACGTGAATCTTTTGTTTCACAAGACCTGTCGTTTTGTCAGTTCGATTTTCGCTGCTTCGATGGTCTCCGCAGACCACTGGAACGACCTCACGAAGGTCCTTTCAAGGTTCTGTAGCGTAAGGACTGCGTCTTTATCACTGACTGTCATGATAAACGATTGGCCGTCTCAAGGTTGCCCACGTGGAACCTGAGCTCGTCTGCTGACGAATCAACCCAGACTAATATGGAAGACTCGCTTGCTTCCAACATTCTTGACTTCAAGCATCAATCTCCGTACAAGCCTTCCACATCAGCTCCGTCGCTTTCCATCGAACCAACCGCCAGGTCTTCAGCAATTCCTCCAACTTGGCGATCCGATAGAAAGTCTAAGACGACGCCTATCTCCGATCCGCACAAATCGACTAGGTCGGGTAGGTGCGTCCGTTGGCCAGCGCAATTAAGGGATTAGTATTCCTTCCAATATTCCTTTCCCGTTTTCCCTTTTTTTAGTCAACACCGTACGAAAACCCAGAAAACGTCAAAAGCTTTTGAAAACGCTAATAAACTGACAGAAGATTTTGAAAACCCCAAAAAGAACGCAACACGTTTTTAAAATCTAAAAAATGAAGTAAAGGTTTTGAAAACACAAAAGGAGTTGCGTTTTGCTTGGCGTTTACTTTATTCGGTAAATGTCATGGTTGCTTTTGCCCTCGCCACTACTGTCACTGCTTTTGTTTCTGTGTATCTTTCATGTATGAAATGGAAGAGGCGAACATTTGACACTCAGGAGCTTGCAAACATTTGACGCTCACGAACTTGTCACCCCCATTTTGTTTCTGGCACCGTTAGGGGGGACATGGGTGGGAGCCCGCTATCCGTCGCAACGAGACTGGATGTTAACGTGGTGCGACAGTTTGCGTACCTCATTGATCCATTGAGCTACACTGGGTGATGCCTCCGAGCACCTTGAGAGCTACCCCTACCAGGTTGGTCAATGGTGAGAGGTCAGACAAACTCAGTCTCCTGGTCCTCCAGGTTGGGGGTTTGAAATGGGATGGCGTCCATTTCTGTAAAACTGAATCACTGCCACCCCGCTGCCTTGCGGACAGGCTTTTGAGCCAAAGGCTTTGGATGAGGACCCTAATCGTCCTCCTGTCTAGGTCTGGGCGCCCTGGCAGTATCTCAGCCCACATATAACCATGACCTTTTCTTCAAACATAAACTTCATCCTGCATCGGTCGTCGCGCAAATTATCAAGGGTCGCCTTATCTGCTGCATACAGCAGGGCGGATAAGCGAAAACATGCTACTGCTGGCACCTTCCTTCTTTCTTTTCCATCTGTTTCTCTTACTCCCATCCCGGCCCCCATTACTAACCTTCCTTCTATAATTCCCAGCTTAATTGACAGCAACCGAAGTGCTACTGGAGTAGAACTATCTGCAACCACCATCGCACCGCACCTATCGGACGCCTATCGGCAAAAGTTCCTTATAAGGTCACGCCGTCCCGTTTCTATGGCGACATTCAACGTCCGCACTCTAAGACAAACAGGTCAGCAGGCTGCACTCGCACGCACCTTGGACACACTGGGTGTTGATGTGTGTTGTGTGTCCGAAACTAGGATTAATGACCCTAACGGGGTTATTGAATTGACTGCACCCGGCTTATCCTCTTGTTATTGGTTGCACGCATCCGGAGACGCCGATGCGGCACTCACGGATCAAGCTGGTGTAGGTATCATTCTCAGATCCAAGGCTGAGCCATCGTTGGTTGATTGGATTCCGGTGAACAGCCGTTTATGTGCAGCCCGTTTGACGACATCAGCTAAGGTGAATTCACGAAGTAAAACAAAACGCTGTTCGTTTGTGATTTCCGTTTATGCTCCCACCGACTGCAGTTCTAATGCAGTCAAGGACACTTTCTATCACGAACTGAACGCCCTACTACGCAGTGCTACTAGTTCAGATATTGTAGTATGAACGCACAAGTAGGGCGTCTGAGCTCCTCAGAAGCTCAGCTGGGTGGTAATTATGGACTTAACTCCGAACGGACTGACAACGGTGAGCGTCTGCTGCAACTGTGTGCGGAGCACCAGTTGGCTCGCAGCCGACAAAAGTGGCGCGTCTGCTGCCATCTTCTAATTAAATTAACTGTTTAAAGTATGTTTGGTGCTGAGTTATCTGCGGGATAATGGCTGATTAGGACGCGGGGCAGTGAAAGCCGCAAGGAAGCTGTCTCGCCGATGCCGCCTCATCTTTACACGATAGCCAGCTGTTTGTGACGGGATGTTGTCTACACAAGGTGTAGGCACCTTGACCCAGAATGTTTGCTTAGGGCATTAAGGTTTTCAGGTAAGTCCCCCTTCTCTCCCTCTTCTTATTCTTTATTTCATAGGTCCGCATGGTTGTATGGCAGCGAAACATCAGTTCAAATGGCTGGTGTGCTGCTGTTGATGATGATGATGATGCAGCACCAGTTGTTTTTTACTAGCACTGCTTTTAGACACAGTGGGCGCCGAAGTGCCACTTGGCGTCCACCTGTAGCTGGCCAGCGATGGACCCAAATTGACCACATAGCCATAAGTTACAGATGGCGCGGTTCCATTCTGGATTCCCGCTCGTATTGGAGTACCTGTGTCGACTCTGATCATGCCTTGGTGCGCTGTCGTTTCTCCATGAACTTTACCGGAAGGCGCACAAAGCGTCTCCTCCGATTGGCAACGGAGAAATTGTCCCAGCCTTCGGTCAGGCAAGCCTATCAAGACACACTGCATACCGAACTCTCGCTGTCTTGTCCTAATGACACTGAACTTCAGTGGAATAAGATCTCGGCTGCCATGCACGACGCAGGAGCATCTGCTTGTGGCACTATCAGTCGTCACCGCACTAGTCACTGGATATCCGAGGTCGGTGAACCTGTTGGAAGCTAGAAGACACCTCCCGGCTGGTTCTGAATACAATGTGACCAGACGGGCTATTAGGCGTGAACTAAAGCGGAGCCTACGTGCTGACAAGGAAGCCTGGTGGACCAGTCGGGCTCAAGAAATGCAGGAGGCAGGAGCAGTAGGCAATTACCGGAAGCTCTTCCAGCTAATCCGCACCACTGGTCCCAGAAAACCAGGCGTCAGTGAGACAATCAGAGACAGCGCGGGTGCGCTGATACACAATAAGGAGCGCCGTATGGCTCGTTGGGCGGAACATTTTCAAGATCAGTTCAGCTGACCCCCTGCTCCCGGACCTCTTCCTACTCAGGTGATGCAGGACGAGCCATGGACGGTTAGTTTAGAGCCTCCGTCGGAGGCTGAGGTCCGAAACGCGATCACAGCCCTTAATCGTTTTCGTGCCACTGGCCCGGATTCCCTCCCACCTGCACTATTTAAGGATGGAGGTGAGGTCCTCTGCAAAACACTGACCTCCCTATTCGAACGTATCTGGAACGAAGAGTGTCCCGGCTAATTGGAGCGAATCGATTATAGTGGCAATATACAAAAAGGGCAGTCGCACAGACTGTGCGAACCACAGGGGTATTAGCCTAACGCCAGTTGTGACAAAATTACTGGCCTCGATTATCGTTCGTCGCCTCACTGCAGAACGGGAATCTCGGATTAGGGAAGAGCAGGCCGGTTTTCGCCCAGGACGTGGTTGTATAGACCATATATTTACTTTGCGGCAGGTGCTAGAGCAGCGCCACGCATACCGCAGACCGACAATAGCTGTGTTCCTCGATTTCAAGAGTGCGTTCGATTCAGTCGATCGATTCTGTTCGAATTACCTGCGCGGAAAGGTGTTCCCACGAAATATGTGAACATCCTTCGTGCTCTATACTCGAACACTACAGGCCGCGTCAGGGTCTATGGTGTCCTGCCGGATAGCTTTTCGACTACAAGTGGCGTTCGTCAGGGTTGTCCGATTTCCCCATTTCTGTTCAATTTCGTCGTGGATTCTATCATGGAGTGTTCCCTTGCGGAATCCAACGATGTAGGCGTTGAAGTGCTGCCTGGTGAAAGGTTAGTTGACCTAGATTATGCGGACGATATCGTCTCGCTTTTCGACGATTTTGCGGCGGCACAATCAACCCTGAATAGCCTGTCCAGAGTGGTCCCATTATTTGGTATGCACTTCGCACCTCCAAAGTGCAAAGTGTTGCTGCAGGACCACCAGCCACTTGATGACCCCTTGACGCTTGCTAACGAAGAACTCGAGGTGGTTGATCATTTCACTTATCTTGGCAGCTGCATCAGCAATGATGGGCGCATAGAAACTGACGTCAGCTCACGCATTGCAAAAGCCAGAGCTGCCTTCTTGAACCTGCGTCATCTTTGGCGACAGAAGGGAGTTTCCCTCCGTCTGAAAGGCCGTGTATACAAGGCCACAGTGAGGGCCGTTCTGCTCTATGGTAGTGAAACTTGGCCTCTTCGGTCTGAAGATCTGAGGCGCCTTCAAGTCTTTGATCATCGTTGTTTGCGAAGCATTGCTGGAGTCGGATGGCACCAGCGTATCCGCAACGATGATGTGCGTAGGCGAGTACTAGGTAGTGATAATCATGCTAGCTCCCTAGAACAACAGATAGCACTGAATAAGTTGCGTTGGCTCGGGCACGTGCTACGCATGCCTCGTCACCGCTTACCTAGGGGGGCCTTGTTCAGTCTACTAGGTGTAGGATGACGCAAGGCTCGAGGTGGACAGAAATTGACTTGGCAGCGGGATATGAAGTCACTGACAACCAAACTGGGTGCCGTTGGTCCGTCTCGCCTTCTGGGTTGGAGTCCACGTGATTCACCTTGTGCTTGGCTCGAGACTTTGCAGGACATGGCTCGCAACCGACACAAGTGGCGCGTCTGCTGCCGTCTCCTAATCGGATTGCCTGTGTAAAGTGTGTTTGGTGCTGAGTTATCTGCGGGATAATGGCTGATTATGACGCGGGGCAGTGAAAGCCGCAAGGAAGCTGTCTCGCCGATGCCGCCTTATCTTTGCACGATAGCCAGCTGTTTGTGACGGGATGTTGTCTACACAAGGTGTAGGCGCCTTGACCCTGAATGTTTGCTTAGGGCATTAAGGTTTTCAGGTAAGTCCCCCTTCTCTCCCTCTTCTTATTCTTTATTTCATAGGTCCTCATGGTTGTATGGCAGCGAAGCATCAGTTCAAATGGCTGATGTACTGCTGTTGTTGGCTGGAGCCCGCTGGGGTCCGATCGCCTCTTTCTCCCCCAGCAGCTGCATCAGGTTACATCAGCTGATCCCGCAGAAGGCTGGCCCGCGACGGACAGTCCTCACGTAGATTGAAGGGTCACCCACGGTTTCCTAGGAGGGGCTGGAGATTCCCCCGTATGACTGTAAATTCTTTTGAAATATATTAAAATTATAGCCTTATTATGTGTTAGGGAATTAGGCGGTTTGGATGTAGGAACGTTGTTCCCGTTGGTTTGAAACACGAATACGATATCCGCCTTTGGCGCGCGCGACGACTGCGAATGACGCCCCATCCACGCACTCGATGCCCAATTACATCCTCCCCTCTCATCTGGTGCCCTATTTTTAGCTTTAGCCCGTTCAACAAACCTTTTCCCTGGCTTATTTTCGTGTGTTCTTCCGTACGCTCATGATTGGTTGTTTAGCCTCGTACCGGATATATAGCGCATGATCGATGCGCTATACCATTGGCAGCTCTGGTATTATGCTTCAGGTAGGTGAAAAGAAGCTTGGGTGCGATTATCGGTTCTTTGGCCAAGCGACCATCATACTGCTGTCTTTTCTCGCGCCTACTTAAAGTACAGAGGTTTCTGACCGCTTTATAATTGGAGTAACCTAAGGTTGAGTGCGTAGCTTTGTACTTGTCCCACAATTTGCGTCGTCCATTCATAAGGGACATTAATTCACGATCAATCCAAGGCGGGCCTTTAGAGAAACGTTTGTTTCTAGTGAGTGGGACAACTTGCTTAATGAGTGATATGAGCTTCGAATACAAGACTACAAGGCATTAACAGGGTCTAAGTGTTGAGGTATACTCCAGTCTACAGTGCCAGCAGTAGTTATCAAACGATTTGCATCGAGTCGTCAGAAATTCCAACAGTACACCCTTGGGTCATGAATGGTAAGATGTCGCATCCAGTAAAAGGAAACTACACAGTGATCGCTCGAACCCAGCGGCTGGAGAATAGTCAAGTCAGAAACATCAGACTGTGCCGGCGTGAGCACAAGGTCGAGGATGTGCGGCAACTGAACCGGATATATCCTGGTGGGCTCGGAAACATGCAGAAATAGATGAGATGCAAGGACGGTTTCAAGGAAAACAGCGTCAAAAGACGCAAGAGATCGCAATGGAGTAAGTCCCAATCACTACCAGCAGCGTTAAAGTCTCCCAGAATCAGACAATCCATGCTACCACCATGCTTCTTAACAGAGTTCAGCAGACTGGCTCCGGAACAAGAAGGGGCTTTGTAGATAACACCAACCAAAAGAGACTGGCATCTATCATGGATCCGGCACCAAAGAATCTCAGATCCACTATCACTGTCACAGATTGCTTCCAGTAAGTGTCATCTGAGATCTTTCCGGTAAAGAATCAGGCCACCGCCAGACACCGCTCCAGAACGATCAGCCCGAGATAGGTGATACCCAGGAACATACTTAGAGTCAAGGATGTCCGATGATAACCAAGTCTCTGGGCGACTGTCAGAAGCAAAGAGCTGAAGCTCATCAATTTTGTTACGTAGGCTATGTAAATTAGCATATATCAACCACAATCCACTCTTCAATCTAGTCGCGGGGACTATAAAGACTGGCCTCCAGCGAACTCTCGGTGTCTTTGGAACCTCCGGAAAGTGCAAAATGTGGAGGGTTTTGCACCATTAACGGCGTGTCCGTAACTCATGGACAGAAGCTTTCATTCGGATCCGGTCCTCAAGGGGTAGGTCTCGTAGTACATAGAAATTTTCACCGTTAAGACGCGGGGTACGTCTCAGAACACGGCGACATTCATCTTCGTTTTGGAAAACGACCTTGAGGGACGAGCCTTAGAGGCGTCATCAAGTATCCTACCGAGAAGAAAAGCAAACATGATAATTATTCCCGGTTCATTTTGATCAAAAGAGACCATACGCCTAAGGAACTCTTGGTCATGAAGCATCCTTTCAGTCGGGGAGTCCTTGATGGACTCAGGAGCATTCACACTAATCAAGCAATGATAACGGGGATAGGATTTAAGGCTCATGGAAGGCTGGAGATTCGGATGGGGCAAACTGTTCTTGAGGGTTTTTTCCAGCTGGCTTACACTGTCCAGGACCAGATTTAGATAGGAAGACTTGGTTTTCAGTTTAGAAACGTTCTTAGTTTTCCCTTCAGCAGAGTCGCAGACCTGCCAACAGGTGTTGGCGCAACTCTCACTCACCCCTGCCGCATAGGTCTTGGTCTTAAGCAAAATGCTACTATCCCCAGGAGTCAGAGGCTGCGATAACGACGATGAGGGAACACGACTTTGATTACCAGAAGGGGTGGCTGAGTCCGAAGCGGGAGAATTCACTGCGGCGCGCTCGTCTTTATGACTAATATTGGACCGCGGACTGAGCACAGGCAAGCTGTACAAAATCATTCAGCAGAATTAGACACAGGTCAAAAAGAAAAGTGATAGCCGAGGAGGTGGTCTGCTGGAGGCACTCATAAAGATTCAAAGCGATATCGTAGCAGGCGACGTGTCGCCACCCGTCGCAAAGAGAGCATTGCACCGCCTTTGACCTGGGAGTAACGCCTTTCCCGCAAATCAAGCATTTAGATGCCAT